AGGAGCATGAGAGTAGCCTGGCAATAGTGCAAGGCCCTGTCTCTACAAAAATTTACTTTAAAAATTAGCTAGACATGGTGGTGCATGCCTGTAGTCCCAGCTACTTAGGAGGCTGAGGTGGGAGGATGGCTTGAGCCCAGGTGGTGGAGGCTACAGTGACCCATCATCACTCCACTGCACTCCAGCCTGGGCAACAGAATGAGACCTGCCTCAAAAAAGAATTTCATTAATAATTCTTACATTACATATTTCTAGGGTTGTCATAACAAAGTAGCACAAACAGGGTGGCTTAAAACAGCAGAAATTTATTGTCACACAACTCTGGAAGCTAGAAATCCAAAATCAAGGCGCCAGCAAACCCATGCTCCCTCTGAAACCTAGAAGGGGGAACCGTTGCCTGCCTATTCCTAGCTTCTGATGGTGGCCATCAATTCTTGGCGTTCCTTGACTTGTAGCTGCCTCACACGTGCCTCTGTCGTTGCTTGTTGCTCTCCCTGTGCTGTCACATAGCATCGTCTTAGAAGGATTCCCGTCATAGTAGGTAAAGTGCCCATCCTACTCCAGTATGACCTGATCTTAACTAATTACATTTGCAACAACCCTATTTCCAAATAAGGTCATATTCTAAAGTACTAAGGGTGAGGATTTTAACATGTATTCTGGGGAAACACAATTAAACCCACAACACATGTTTTTTGTTTTATTTTGTTGTTTTGTTTGAGACGGAGTCTCTCTCTGTCACCCAGGCTGGAGTGCAGTGGAGCCATCTCGGCTCACTGCAGCCTCTGCCTCCTGGGTTCAAGCAATTCTGCCTCAGCCTCCTAAGTAGCTGGAATTACAGATGAGCACCACCATGCCCAGCTAATTTTTGTATTTTTAGTAGAGACGGGGTTTCACCATGTTGGCCAGGCTGGTGTCGAGCTCCTGACCTCAAGTACTCCGCCTGCCTCAACCTCCCAAAATGCTGAGTCACCTCACCCGGCCCCACAACACATGTCTAAATGATACTATTTGAATACATTTAGTTAAATTAAGTACAATGATTGATTGCATTTGAGGCTCACATTACATGTCTATTGGATGGCACTGCTTTAGGGGTGTATACTGTGGTTTGACTTATTTACTATTGATTAGGGGAGCTTACAACTCTGAAAAAGAAAAGTGTTAATCCATAGAAAACCAATAGCAACCAATAAACTTTATCCTGTAGAGATGCGAATGAAAAGATCATAATCCAAAGTTTATGGATTTCTTCTGTACGTACTTTAGCAGTCTTATTCCAACATTCTTTCTCTCTTTTTTTTTTATTTTTATTTTTTTATTTTTTGAGATGGAGTCTCACTCTGTCACCCAGGCTGGAGTGCAGTGGCTCGATCTCGGCTCACTGCAACCTCCACCTCCCAGGTTCAAGCGATTCTCCTGCTTCAGCCTCCTAAGTAGCTGGGATTACAGGCACCCACCACCATGCCTGGCTAATTTTTGTATTTTTAGTAGAGACAGGGTTTCACCATGTTGGCCAGGATAGTCTCAATCTCCTGACCTCAGGTGATCCACCCGCCTTGGCCTCCCAAAATGCTGGATTTACAGGCATGAGCCACTGCGCCTGGCCACATTCTTTCATTTAAGTGATACCATGGTTTGAATATTTGCCTTCTCCAAAACTCATGTTGAAATGTAATCTCCAATGTGGCAGTACTGGGAGGAGATGCCTTTATGAGAATTGGGTTGTGAGACACTGCCTTCATTAACAGATTAATCCATTCAAGGATGAATGGGTTACCACGGGAGTGGGCCTTGTGGCTTTCTAAGAAAAGGAAAACAGACCTGAGCTGCCACGCTCAGCCTCCTCACCATGTGATGTCCTGTGCCACCCCGAGGCTCTGCAGAGAGTCCCCACCAGCAAAAAGGCCCTCAGCAGATGTGGTCCCTCTACCTTGGACTTCTCAACCTCCATAACTGTAAGAAACAAATTTCTTTTCTTTATAAATTACCCAGTTTCAGGTATTCTGTCATAAGCAACAGAAAATGAACTAAGACAAGTGACTCTAAATATTTCTATCTCTCCTACACTGTTTTTTTGGGGTTTTTTTTTTTTTGTTTTTTTTGAGACAGAGTCTCGCTCTGTCACCCAGGCTGGAGTGCAGTGGTGCAATCTCGGCTCACTGCAACCTCCACCTCCCAGGTTCAAGCTATTCTTGTGTCTCAGTCCCCTGAGTAGCTGGGACTACAGTGCCTGCCACCATGCCCAGCTATTTTTGTATTTTTAGTAGAGACAAGGTCTTGCTATGTTGGCCAGGCTGGTCTCGAACTCCTGACCTCAAGTGATCTGCCCACCTTGGCCTTCCAAAGTTTTGGGATTACAGGCTTCAGCCACCATGCCCAGCCTCTCCTATACTTTTGTTGAACTCTTCTTACCATGTTGGGCTGGTTCACACATTAATGAGTTAATTGAATCTACAACCCATGCTCACCATATGGAAAGTTGAGTTTTCAGTATTTTGGAAATTATACCTCGACAAGGGGATCCTGAGGAGAGTGGAGCCTGAATGAACGCCCTTTCCTTCCCTGATTCCAATTCCAGGCTACTGTCTTTCGTGAGCAAGACCTGATTCCTGCAAAAATCACTGCTATGGGGGTTTCCTTCCTCTTAGACAATTAACTCATGAGCAATAAAACGGTAAGGGTCAAAAGTGGCCATTTCAGGGAAAAGTTGCGTTTTCAGGCTCCTTAGACCCTGCAGGAGACTACTGAGCCTTCTTGACCTTTACTAATTCAGAAAGTTGCTAGCATGGGTTGGATTACCCACTCACAAGTCTGAGGAAGTCCAGAGAGAGCAGCGACCAGCGAAGCCTCCTGTGGATGCCTTGGCAGGAGGCTGACAGCCTTTCATGAACCACAAGTCCTCAGGGTCTGAGACCCTTCATTCCTGCTCATCTTTAAGGACACTTCTCAGCCAGATCTACACCCAAAGAAACAGACACCAAAAGACAACGGCTCAACAAAGGGACCTCCAGAGGAGAATGAGGTAGAACAATCATATCGCATGTTTGCTGACTAGAACTGGAGCTTGAAGGGACAAATTAACATCTGCATTTGCAAAAAAAAATGATAGTAAGCTTTAAGATCCACATGCATCACAAAAGAAAAGAACTTTTGAAGCTTAAAACAAGAACTTTGAGTTTTGGCTAAGGGCAGTGGCTCATGCCTATAATCCTAGCACTTTTTGAGACAGATGGGAGGATCACTTGAGGACAGGAGTTCGAGACCAGCCTATCAACATAGCAAGACCCCATCTCTTTTTCTATTTTTAAAAGAAAATAAAAGAACTTTGAGATTTTTTAAAAAAGAAATAGTAAATAAATTTAAGGAGGGGATATCATCATTGAGCCCTATACTAGAAACCTGGAAGATTAAGTATAAAAAAAATCTGCGGCCGGGCCAAGCTGTAATCCAGCACTTGGAGCCGAGACGGTGATCACGAGGTCAGAGATCAAGACATCCTGGCTACACGGAAACCATCTACTAAAAAATACAAAAAAAAAACTAGCGGCGATGGCGGCGCCTGTATCCAGCTACTCAGGAGCTGAGCAGGAGAATGGCGTAAACCGGAGGTGGACTTGCAGTGAGCTGAACCGCCACTCACCCACCTGGCAACAGACAAATCCGTCAAAAAAAAAAAAATCTTAAAGTGTAGAGAAGAAAGATAATGAGATAAAAGTCATACTGGAAAATATAAAAGATTTAGACAAAAGATCCAGGAGTCCTAACATGTAAAGAACAGAAGTTCCAGGTGGAGACAAAATAGGAGAAGGAAAAGAGGCAACAATTAAATATATGTCAGAAGAAAATTTTCCTGAGCTGAGGAAGTACCTGAATAGCCTGTTCAATCCATAGAGACACAAGGGCTGCCTGGCCAAGAAATTACTCACATAATAGAATGGAAGAAATTCACACAAGGATATGCAAGAACCCAAAGGTATACCTGAAGATAAGAAATAGCCTATGTGAACAAAAATATGGTTGCTGCTTCACTTCGGCCCTCCAAATCTCCCACAAGAACCTCTCTTGGCCGGGTGCAGTGGCTCATGCCTATAATCTCAGCACTTTGGAAGGCTAAGGAGGGTAGATGTTGAGGTCAGGAGATCAAGACCATCCTGGCCAACACAATGAAATCCCGTCTCTACTAAAAATACAAAAATTAGCTGGGCATGGTGGCATGTGCCTATAATCCCAGCTACTTAGGAGGCTGAGGCAGGAGAATCGCTTGAACCCGGGAGGCGGAGGTTGCAGTGAGTCGAGATCACACCACTGCACTCCAGCCTGGGCAACAGAGTGAGACTCCGTCTCAAAAAAAAAAAAAAAACAAGAAACGTATAGGTGAAGAAGTTTGTAAAATGTAGTTCATCCCAGCCAAATTCACATATCTTAAAGCTACTATACCAGCTAAGGCTAAAAGAACAGAACAGATTTTTTTAGTCCCATCTTCTCTGGCTGGCTTCCAGTCAATGCCTAAGCAAGGCAGTATCCAAGGCTTAGACAATTCTGCCCAATGGGGGAATTCCCTTAGTAGGCAATTGTTGCTCCAGAGCTCCCCTGTCAGGCTGGCAGAAATAGTATTACGAATTCATCGTGAGGTGACAGCTCCCCTGCTTAAATCCTGCTTCTTCCCATTTTCTTTCACAGGTGTCACTCCACAATAAATCTTTTGTATTTCTAATTCTGACTTAGCATCTGCATCTCAGAAATTCCAACCAGTATAAAATAACTTTAAAGCAACCATTATAACTATACTCAAGGACTGAAAATATACTTCAAATAAATGAATAAATAGGAAATTTCAACAGATAAATAGAAACTACAGAAAAGAATCAAATGAACATGCTAGAATTTAAAAATTCAATATCTGGATTTTTTAAAGGTCACTGGATAGGCTTAACAAGAGACAAGAGGTGACAGAGAGTCAACAAATTTGAAGATAGGTCAATAGAAGTATCCTACCTGTCCTCACTTCAGCAGTACATATACTAAAATTGGAACGATACAGAGAAGATTAGCATGGCCCTGCGCAAGGATGATATGCAAATTCGGGAAGCATTATAAAATAATTTTTAAATTTTTTAAAAACAAAATATCCTAGCTGAAGAATAGAAAAATAAAAAATGGTGAAATTTCAATGACCTATGGAGCAATATCAAAAGTTTTAACTTTGTATCATTGGAGTACTTGAAGGCAAGAAAAGATTAGGACAAAAAAGTTGTAGGCTAGGCCCAGTGGCTCACGCCTATATTCCCAGCACTTTGGGAGGCCAAGGCGGGTAGATCACCTGAGGTCAGGAGTTCGAGACCAGTCTGACCAACATGGTGAAATGCCATCTCTGCTAAAAATATAAAAAATTAGCCGAGCATGGTGGTGCATGCCGTAATCCCAATCTCAGCTACTTGGGAGGCTGAGGCAGGAGAATCTCTTGAACCCAGGATGCAGAAGTTGCAGTGAGCCAAGATCATGCCCCTGAACTTTAGCTTGGGCAAAAAGAGTGAAATTCCATCTCAAAAAAAAAAAAAAAAAAAAAGTTTTGTGAAGAAATAATGATCATATTTTTAGTGCAAGTTATAAATTTATAGATTCAAGAAATTCAACAAACCCCAAGCAGGAAAAAATACAAAGAAAACCACATATAAATACATCAGACCAAACTGCTGAAAACCAAAGATAAAGAAAATATCATGATATCAGCCAGAGAAAATTTACACAATACATAACGGGGAACAATGATTTGAATGACTTCTGACTTCACATCAGAAATAATAGAGAACAAAAGACAACAGAAAAACAACTTTAAGCCCAGGCAACATGGTGAAACCCCGCTTCTACAGAAAAAAACACAAAAATTAGCCAGCATGGTGGTGCACACCTGTAGTCCCAGCAATTTGGGAGGTGAGGCGGTTAGGATCACTTGAGCCCAGGAAGTTGAGGCTGCAGTGAGCCATGATCACACCACTGCACTCCAGCCTGGGTGACAAAGTGAAACCCTATATCCAAAAAAAAAAGAAAAGTAAAACAAATTGTCAACCCAGAATTCTATATCCACGAAAATATACCTTAAGATGAATGTGTTGCTATGCAACAATTACCACAACCTAGTGGTTTTTAAATATGCACATTATCTCACAGTTTCTCTACATTAGAAGTCAGAGCCAGGAATCTGTTCTCACCTGGAAGCTGAACTGACAATGAATCGTCTTCTAAGCTCACTCAGGTTAGTGGCAGAATTTATTTCTTTGAGACCGTAAGACTGAGGTCATGCTGAGCAACTAGATGTTGCCTGAAATTTCTTGCCTGGTGGGCTCAGATAAGTTTTTGCAAGCCTCCATGCTCACAGCCAGTAAGTAAAAGAGACTCTAGAGTCAGCTAGCAAGACAGAGTCTTCTATAATGTACCATATCATGGCAGTGGCAACCTATCACTTTTGCCATATTCTATTGTTTAGAAGCAATTCACAAGTCCCACCCACACTCAAGGAGAGGAGATTATACCAGGATGTGAATACCAGAAGGTGGGGATTACTGGGGGTCACTCAAGTTCTGTCCACCACAATGAAGATGAAACAAAAACATTTTCAAATGAATGAAAACTAAGAGACTTCACTCAGCAGACCTGCACTACAAGAAACACTAAATGAAGTTCATCAAATGAAGGGAAGTGACACAGATGGAAACTCATATATCTTTAAGAAGTAGTGAAATCCCTGGTGTTTTGTGAAAAGGCCACCTATGCAAAGTGACACCCAAATACAGAAGGAGCCAAGAAGCCAAAGAATGAGGTTGACAAATCCAGTTTGTCAGTAGGAACTTATAGACAGAAGCATAGTCTTGGGTGGCAGCAAGAAAAATAGATTTCTGCACTGTTACTCCCCAGACCCAGGGCTTTTATACCAGAGGGCAAGAGTGTATGTGCTCTATAGAGACAATTAAAGTACCCTCCAGAAAGGCAAGAACACTATAGGCATCATAGCCCATACTTTCTGCAGTAACATCAAGAGAGACCTGTTGCTACACTAGGAATAGTAAGTAAAGTAGAAATTTTGCAGGCATTCCCAGAACTGGGGTTAAGCAGAAGTCAACATGGAAGATCAACATCCAAGATGGGGTCATTTTTTTCTCCACATCTGAAAATGTTAAACATGTTGCTGAGTGATATGGTTTGGGTCTGTGTCCCTGCCCAAATATCATGTCAAATTATAATCCCCAATGTTGGAAGAGGGGCCTGTTAGAGGTGATTGGATCATGAGGGCAGACTTCCCCCTTGCTGTTCTCATGATAGTGAATGAGTTCTCATGAGATCTGGTTGTTCAACAGTGTGTAGCACCTGCCCCTTCCCTCTCTTCCCCCTGCTCTAGTCATGTAAGATGTGCCTCCTTCCTCTTCACCTTCCACCACGACTGTCAGTTTCCTGAGGCCTCCCCAGCCATGCCTCCTGTACAGCCTGCAGAACTGTGAGTCAGTTAAACCTGTTTTCTTTATAAATTACCCAGTGTCCGGTAGTTCTTTATAGCAGTGTGACAACAGACTAATTTAGTGAATATAAAACATTACATTCTCCTTAATTTCTAAATGCTTCTAACTCTTTAAAACAAAAATTATAACATTGTATTGTGGGAATTTTAATGTATTTATACATAATATGTATGAAAATATAGCATAAAGGTTGGGGGTAAATTGATGTGTATGGTTGTAAGGCTCTTAAATTTTGCGTGAAGTGGGTAAAATATTTAGATCTAAGTAGAATGTAGACTGTAAGTTAAGAATGAATATTGTAATCACTAAACAACCACTTTAAAACACATAAAGAGGTGTAGCTAAAATGCCAATTAACTAATTGAAATGGAGTTCTAACCCATAAGAAGGCAAAAAAAGATGAAGAGAGAAAAAAAGTATATATAAAACAAGTAATAAAATGGTAGACCTATATCAAATTATATCCATAATTACATTATCTATAAATGGACTAAACACTCCAACTAAAAAGCAGAGAAGGTAGGATTTTAAAAAATAACAAGGAGAATCTGTATCCCAACTACAAGAGATACACTTTAAATGTTACAATACAGATAGCTGAAAGGAAATAGATGAAAAAAGATACATTATACAGCATCCAATCAGGGAATAAGAAAGCTAGAATAAGGGCTAGGTTAATTTCAAATGGAGTAGATTTTAAGACAGAGATAAAAAGGAACATTTCATGATGGTAAAATGGTCCATTTTCATCAAGAGAACAGAATTGCATCTAATGATAGAGCTTCAAAATGCATGAAGCAAAAATTGACAAAACCTGGACTCCCAATTCCAAAATGGCAGTGCAGAAGCAAGCCGTCTTCAATCCCCATCCCCCACAGAAAACCAAAAACAAGTATATAGCACCAAGATTATCACCAGCAATATACCATAACTCAAATATGAGGATGAGACAGTTCCTGGGACTATAAAGAAGTGAAAAAACTCTAAGCCAACAGTCAGAGGATCATCAGACTTCCATATCCATAATGCTCTGCCCTCCAATCTGCCCAGCACCAAACACATGGAAATCTTCCCCTGACTCACAGCTTCTACACTGGGAGCAGTAAGATTGAGGCGTTCAATCTATTTCCCTACCACCCTGAGTTATTTGGCAGGAGATCTGCCTCTGCCTCAAGTCACGGGAAGCATTGAGAGTGCCTAGAAAGAGAAATGTCCTGAGGACAGTCAGAGACAAATGGGAAAGGTAGGACTTAACTATCCCCAGCCTCTTAACTATCCTAGAAAACTCTGCTCTGGACGTTGGCCAAAGAGGATGCCAAATCAGAGTGGCTGTTCATCATCACCGCATGGGAGGAGGTTCGTTTCACAGGTTCCCCATTCGCAAACCCCTAGAAAGCTTCCCACGCTGCCAGGCTATCCGTTGTGGAGCCTCCCCCGTTTGGGAACAGGCAGCAATCTGATTTACTACAACTGAGGCAAACTTGAGTTTAAGGCGCCATCTAGTGCCAAAAAGGAGGCAGTGACCTAGAGGGAAAAACAAAAGAAACATAATTAACAGGTAAATTACAAAGACTCTCTAAGCAAACATATCCCCCCCAAAAAACAAAACAAGTCAGACAGAGAAGACTGGAATAAATAACTAATCCTTCAATGCAAAGAAACAGACATTCATGCACAAGAAACAACACACACATGCATGGAGCACACATGCAGTCCCAGCTACTCAGTAGCCTGAGCTCAAGCCCAGGAGTTTGAGGCCACCTTGAACTATGAATATGTTACTGCACTCCACCCTGGGTGGCAGAACAAGACCCTCTGTCTCCAAAAAAAAAAAAAAAAAAAAAAAAATCTCTCCTCACCAGAAAAAAAAAAAAAAAAAACAAAAAAAAACCAGGACTGTATGGATTCGCAGACCAATAATTCTACCAGATGTACAAAGAAGAACTAGTACCAATTCTACTGAAACTACTCCAAAAAACAGAAGGGGGGAACCCTCCATAACTCATTCTACAAAGTTATTGTCACTCTGATACCAAAGCCAGGCAAGGACACAACAAAAAAAGGAAAACTACAGATCAATATCCTTGAAGGACACAGACACAAAAATCCTTCACAAAGTATTAGCAACCAAATTCAACAGCACATCAAAAAGATAATGCACCAAGAGCAAGTGGGTTTTATAGCAGGAATGCAAAGATGGCTCAATACATGCAAATCAGTAAATGTGACTGACCACATAAATAGGATTAAAAACAAAAACCAGACTATTATGTCAATAAATACAGAAGAAGCATTTGATAAGAGTCATCAGTCCTTCATGATAAAAACCCTCAACAAACTAGGCATAGAAGAAACATACCTCAAAATAATAAAAGCCATATAAAATAAACCCACAGTCAACATTATACTGAATGCGGAAATGTTCCCCCTAAGAACCGAAATGAGACAAGGATGTCTACTTTCACACTCTTATTCAACATCTGGATTTCCTAGCCAGAGCAGGCAAGAGAAATAAGAGGCATCAAAACTGGAAGATAGGAAATCAAATTATCTGTTTGCTGATTATATGATCTTATACCTAGAAAACCTTAA